CCCACCTTAGGTTCTGCTTTCGCAGGTCACCCAGATTAGGTTCTGATGGGTTGGTTTCTATGTGAGTCAATGTCAAAAGCTCCGCCTCCTAGGCACCCATTGATTCCTCACAGTTCACCCAGATTTTGTTCTGATTGATCAGTTTCTATGCCAGTCAGTGTCTCTGGGCCTGATCAGAGAGGCGGGGCTGATCAGCAGCCCCCGCGGAGGCCCAGAGAGAAAGAGAGAGGCAAGGGCTGATCAACAGCTGCCACAGAGGCTACAGATCAGACCCTGCTTCTCTCTCCAGGCCTGTCTCCGGGTCTGATCCTTGGCAGTCAGTGCTGGGTCGCCGTGGCTGCAGGACTGACTTCCAGCCTTTGGTCGTTTTGGATGTTACAGACCCTGGGCTTTTATATATTAGGATGTTTAAAAAATATTTTTATTGAATTCAGAGAGGAAGGGAGAGGGAGATAGAAACATCAATGATGAGAGAGAATCATTGATTGGCTACCTCTTGCACGCCCCTCATTGGGGATAGAGCCCACAACCTGGGCATGTGCCCTTGACCAGAATCGAACCCGGGACCCTTCAGTCCACAGGCCGACGCTCTATCCACTGAGCCAAACCGAGTAGGGCTTAGTATAATTTTTAAAGATTCATCCATGTTATAGTTCACATCAGAACTTCCTACCTCTGAAATACCAGAAGTCATACCTCTCCAAGGGGGCATTAACCCTCAAGAGAGCATATACTCTTGTTAACTCGACTGTAATACGTTCCTCGCCTTGCTTTCTCCCACCTCCAGGGGATCTTCCTTACTCTCCTCTTTAATCTCAAGTGCATAAAAGAAGCTGCAAAACTGTCATTCTCTGGAGCATTTGAGGTCTTGCTTCCCTGCCTATGTCATCAGTTTGGCTCAAGTAAACTCATAAAAATTAAAAAAAAAATTCTCTCTCCCCTAATTTTTTTTGGGAGGCAACCAAAATTTGTGGTGGCCTTGTTTCAACAAGGCTTAAAAAATAAAAATTATACAAAAAAAGAGAACTTCCCTTTTATGGCTGAAAACTATTGCAGAGTATGGACAGGGCGCGCTGTTTGCCCATCGCCTGCTGATGGGCGCCGGGTCACGCCCGCTGTGTGCGTGCTGCTGCGAACGGGCTGTGCACGCATCCGCTGGAGCCCTGCTGCCCATTCCCTGACAGATGCCTTTCATCAGGTTAAAGAGGTTCCCTTCTATTCCTAGTTTATTTCGTTTTTGCCAGAAATACAATGTTGGATTTTGTCAAATGCTTTTTCTACATTTATTGACATGATCATGTAGTTTCCCTTTTTCTCTCTGTTAAGTGAAAAATTACAATGATTTTTTAATGTTAAACCAACTTTTGATTCAAGATGCACATTCTTTTTATATGTTGTTGGAGTCCATTTGCTACAATATTGTTAAAATTTTTTGCTCTGGGTTCATGAGCAATACAGTCTGCGCTTTTCTTCTTGTAATGTCCTTTTCTACTTTTGGTATAAAATGAGTTGGGAAATATTACTTCCACTTCAATTTTCTAGATGAGTTTGCAAAGAATTGCTATACAAATAAGAAAATGTTTGGTAGACTACACCAGTGAAGCCATTTGGGCCTTGAATATTTTGTGGAACGTTTTTTAAGCGCCAATTAAAATTCTTTAATAGACTAGAGTATTAAAACCATAGAAACTGCCTAGCTGGCGTGGCTCAGTGGTTGAGGTCATGGTTTGATTCCCAATTAGGGCACATGCCCAAGTTGCAGGCTAGATCCCCAGTGTGGGGCATGCAGGAGGCAGCTGATTATCGATCCTCTATCATCACTGACTTTTCTCTCTCTCTCCCCCTCTCCCTTCCTCTCTGAAATCAATAAAAATATGTTAAAAAAATACACCATAGAAACAAAGATTTTTCTATAATAGACATGATTTTTTTAGTTATTTATTTCTTCCCCCTCTATTTTCCTTCCTGCAGCAAGTTGCAGTTTGGTTATCTATTTCTTACTGAGTGATCTTTGGTAGTTTGTGTCAAATGAACCTGTCCATTTCTTCTAAATTGTCAAGTTTATTGGCATAAAGTTGTTCATAATGTTTCCTTATTATGAACACCTGTTGACTCTGTAGTGATATCATTTCCCATTCTTCATGTTGGTAATGTATGTCTTCTCTATTTTTGTCCTGATCAGTTTGGCTAGAGGCTTATCAATTTTATTGATCTTCTCAAATAATCAGCATTTTGTTTCACTGATTTTCTGTATTATTTTTACACTAGAGGCCCGGTGCACAAAATTAGTGCACTGAGGGGGTGGGGGAAGGGGGTCCCTCAGCCCAGCCTGCACCCTCTCGCAGTCCGGGAGCCCTCGGGGGATGTCCAACTGCCAGCTTAGGCCCGCTAAGGGAAGGGGCCTAAGCCGGCAGTTGGACATCCTTAGCACTGCCGCAGAGATGGGAGAGGCTCCCACCACTGCCGCTGGGCTCACCAGCCGTGAGCCCGGCTTCTGACTGAGCGGTGCTCCCCCTGTGGGAGCGCACTGACCACCAGGGGGCAGCTCCTGCTTTGAGCATCTGCCTCCTGGTAGTCAGTGCGAGTCATAGCGACCGGTAGTTCTGCCGTTCGGTCAATTTACATATTAGCCTTTTATTATATAGAATTTTCTCTTTTACTGACTTCTACTTTGATCTTCATTATTTCCTTCTGTTTACTTTCCTTCTGTTTATTTTCCTTGTGGGTATCTTTTTTTTTTTTTACTGTGATAAATATGGTGGCATTTACTAGTAGGTACTATAAATTTCCCTCTAAGAACTGCATTGGTTGCATCCTACATATTCAGAATGTCTTACTTTCTTTTTCTTTCAGTTCAAAATACGTTCTAATTTTCCTTTTGATTGTTATTTGACCCATGGGTTTCTCAGTAGCACATTCTTTAGTTTCCTGATGGTGGCTGGCATAAAGGTGTGACCATGTCTGAGATGAGGCTTGGCTGGGGGTGGGGAACATGTGAACCAGGGTGCAGCGTGTTCTGCCTTGGTTCCCAAGGGTGGTGACCACACAGTAGACATCACCGACATGCTAGCAGATGAACCAAAGGCTTCTAGGTCTGAGCGAGCAGTATGTCCAGGATGAGGTGGCCTGCGTGGGTGCAGGCTCCGCTCTGCCCTGGCCAGCTCCTGAGACAGGCTGCAATTCCCTTTTTCTGAGAAGAGGCTGCACCCTCCTGGGCTGATGGGCCTGCCTTACTGACCAGCCAGCACCCACTTTCTTGACGGGGCCAATGGGAGGGAGCACAAAGCCTCTCCTCTGGGCTCATTGCTGAGCTGGGCCTGTGCCAGACACTAGGAGTAGGTTTCAAGGTCAGGGGGCAGCCCCGTGACACAGAAGTGAGACCAGATCCCACAGACCAGACGCAGGTCTCTGCCAGTGTGCTCACTGATACCCAGTCTTCCTGTGTGGGCCCAGGCCACATGGTGTTCTGAGACCATCCTGGCTTCACTCAGCCATGGCTGCGTAGGCCAATCCGATTCCCTCTCACACGCCAGCCAGGCTCTCACAGCACAAACACTAGGACGAAAGTGCACAAACTTCTGTGCCAAAGGAAGTGCAGGAAGGAAGGTCCCGACCTTTGTACACTGCTCACTTACCTTTCACCTCAGCAAGCACTCCCTGGGGGCCCGCAGGCTGTATGCTGAGCAGTGGACACTCTTCCAAGCTTTCAACTCAGAGGAGTGACATTGTAAGGCCTTTGGAAGACACTTGAGCCCACGGGACCCCCTGCTCCTGGAGAAGCCCAGGAAGACTGAGCAGAGCCAGGCCGCCTACCAGCCTGCTTGGCTGCACATGCAGGAGCCGCCTGGGGAAATCTGTCTGCTGCGTTCAGGATTCTGCTTCAAAAATTGCTTGCCTGCACGAAAATCTCCTGGCTCCCAAGATCTGCTCCCAAGCAACAGCCGTGCTGGATGGTGCCTGTGCTCGATCCCCTTCCCTGGGAGCAGCACTGTGCCGCCCGCAGCCCCGTCACGTGCACATATGCCTGGCCCCACACCGAGGCTGGTGCACCGTCATCCTGCAGAGCAGGCTGTGGCATGTCTGACTGTAGAGCGTGTCAGCATGGGACTGTGCACATGTGTGTCCAGGTGCCATTCATGGCCCTGTCCCCGTGCTCACTCTGCCTGGCCCAGGAATCAGTCCAGCCACTTGGCTGGCAGCACCATAGCCCCAAATCCCCCCTTAAGGAGGCCCGGCCTGGGTCCAGGTGAACCCGACACATGGACTTCAGGAGCCCAGCGTGGGAGCTGGCCCTGCACCTGACCCCGGCAGCTGTCAGCAGGTGGCTACCTATGCTGGTCCCAACCCCTGACCCCTTGGGTGGCTCAGGACCAGCTCAGTCTGTAGCACCCTAATGGTCTGCTGGTGTCTTGCCAGACCCAGGGCTGGGCCAGTACACGCTACAGTCACCATGCTCCTCCCTGCTTCCAGGAACCCTCCTCCAGGACCCAGTGCTCCTCAGAACAGACAGCCTGAGCCTGGCCAGGGTAGTCACCGCCCCGCCCAAAGGACGGCTGAAAGTGACTGCAGTAAGTGCACATGGGCTGACTGTGGCCTTCCTGACCTCGTCCAGCAGGGCCACTGGCCACAGTGGCCTCAGAGCAGAGTGGACACCAGCTGGCTGAGCCATGGATACCAGGAGTTCTTGTCCTGGCCCTCAACCTGCCGGCCTGTGGCCAGGGACCCTGTGGTTATTCTCCAGGCCTCAGTGCCGAGGAGGGACTCCCCGAGGATGCAAGTGCACAAACGAGGTATTTGCTTGGAGCGCCTGTGCCCACCCCACATACCTGCTGCCTCTGGGCACTGCCCAGTGCAGGCCAGGAAGCTCTCAGCTCGGCCCTTCCCTGGCTGGCGGCAGAGCCTGGGGTGCCGAGGGCCAAGCGCTGGGCCTTACCTTTGGTGTCGTTGACGGGGTCCATGTGCCGGTAGATGTAGCCCTCTAAGTAGGAGTGGAACTTGGGTGTGGGTGGGAAAAAGGCCAGGCAGATGGCCATGAGCTCCCAGCCTCGGGCCAGGCTCTCCAGGCGGAAGTTCTCCGTGGTCTGCCGGCAGAGCTGGATGTACAGCTCGTCCCGCAGGCCCTGCACGCTCCAGCCCTTGGTGGCAATCTCCAGGGCCACGTGCAGCGGGTCTGCCTTGGCGCGCCGGTCACCCATGTACATCTGGATCAGCTTGAAGATCTCGCACGCCTCCTTCTTCACGTGGCGGTCGCTGGTCACGATCATGGGCTTCTTGATGGACTCGCTGCTCCAGGCCAGCATGTTGGCGATGGACACTTTCCGCCGAAAGAGGCCCTGTGTGTGCTTGTTGAAGTGTTTAGAGGCCCAGTTCTCGATGTCGGTCTCTGAGGACGGCTTGCGCAGAGTGAATGTGGGGAACACGCAGCTGGCACTGGGCATCACACTGCGGGGCTGCCGGCCGCTCTCAAACTGGGCACAGGAGCCTAGGTCCTCCGACTGGGAAGGAGAGAGGGGCCGTGAGGGGGGGCCCTACGTGACCCAGTCAGTGACAGGCATGCCCCCTCACCGGTCCCCAGGGTCTAGGCGGGGCTTTCACGGAATCTGCTGGAGGGGAGGCAGGGCAGCATTTGCAGGGTGTCCCATGGTGGCGCCAGGCTATGCCTCCAGCTTTGGCTTTCTCGAGTTCTACCAGCCTCACAGAGATGTGCGAACATCCTCCCCGTGCAAGGCTGCGCAGGGACCCAGAAGGCCCCTCCCTGGTCCTGAGACCTAGGGTTGGGGGGCCAGCACAGATATGGGGGCAGGAGGAAGCCTCTTCCTGTCTGTCTTATTGTCCATCGTCCTCCTGTGCTATGAGCTATGGACAGGAACGTGCTCTGAGCTCTCTAGCCTGGAGGGTCACTAAGGTGGCCCTGCCATGGGGATGCTGACCGCCCAAGGTCACAGGGCACGGTTCCCTGGCAGGGCTGGGAGTGGACTGAGGAGCCTGACACTGGGAGGCCTTGTGACCATGACCAGCTCTGAGCAGATGCCAGTGTAGACCCTCTGCCAAGGCTTCATAAAGCAGGTCAGGAGGTGAGGACCAGAACATCAGCCGATACCACATTCCCTACATGCAACCTGGACAGGAGGTGCAGGCAGGCTCCTAGGGCCTGACCTTAGCCTCTGCCTGGTGCTGCCCCAGGAGGACACATCTGGCTGGGCCTCTGCTTTAGCCACAGCCACACTCGGAGCCTGAGGTCCTGGGGCTACTGGCCTGGCTGAGCGCATCGGCCCCAGGGTTGGTGTCAGGCTCCCTGGTGTGGGAGCCTGTTCAGGAAGGGCTCCGAGTCACCTGAGGAGAGCCTGACACCCACCTGCACTGCCCCTCACCTGACAGCCCGTTCACAGGTGGGAGAAAGAGGCTCAGGCTCAGAGGGTTGGCATGCCTGTCCATCTCCTCTGCATCCATGGCCTGGAATCAGGGCACGGCCTCTGGCCCCAGGTGGCCTGCCAGCACCCAGGTGGGCCTCACCAGGAATGGAGGTGAGGGAGGCCTGCCCTGGGGGAGTCCTTGGAGGTATCTGCTACCGGTCCACCTGGCTGTCAGCAACCGTGAGTGACCCACCCCTGCCTGGAGCTGTTCATACCTGTGAGGGGTGGAGGTAGGGTTCAGGTGAGGCCAGGTTGGTCTGCACAGAGACGCTTTTCTCCAGCAGGATCTGGGGGAAGGCGAGCCTCTCCAAGGCGCCCCTCTGCCAGTGCCTGCTGCTCTCCTGCTGGGCCAAGGCCTCATCCTCGCTGAAGGCGCGCACCACAGGTCCGGGCATGGGGAGTGGCACGGCCCCATCACTCTCGTAGCCTGAGCCGTCCTGCTGGGAGTCCCAGCTTCCCCTCTGCTTCATGTGGAAGTGGGCCTGCTGTGCCTCCCAGGCCAGCCTCGCCTGTGCCAGGAAGGGTTCGGCCCCACCCCGTGCCCCGTCTGCCTCGCCTGTCTTGGCCTCCATGTGCTTTGGGGCCAGGCTGGGCCCACACTTGGGCCGCTCCTCAGTCAGGGACTGTGGGAGCAGGTCGAGGTCCCCAGGGCTATCGGTGGACGAGGCACTGGGGGCATGGCACAGAGAGGGGTTCCTGCTCTTTCTCTTGCGTGTGCCTGGGGAGTAGCCTGTGGAGGACATGGTGTCCTGCTGGCTGGACCAGGACATGGCATCATCCTGGGCCTGGGGGAGCGGCGAGGGTGGAGGGGCGTGCCGCAGCTCAGGCCCCTCCATGCTGCTATAGTCCCCGGACGTGACCCCCAGGCGCTGGTCCCGCAGCAGGCAGGGGCTGGGCTGTAGCGAGAGGGACCCCCCACCAGGGTTGGGCGTGTACTTGTGCCGCGGGCCTGCCCGCAGCCTGGGGCTTGAGCCGGCCTGCTCCACATACACCAGCTGCCGCACATACTCCTTCCCTGCAGGGCTGTACTCCAGGCTCAGGAAGCGCTCTGGGCACTTCTGCCTGGTGAGCACCAGCTGCTGGAATGGGGAGGCAGAGGCATGCTTGGGCGACTGGGGGAAGGGCACGGGCTTCCGGCCCGGAGAGCGCTGGGGGGAGCCACCCTGGCAGGCACCGCCGGCCTCATACTGCACGTCCATGGGGGGCTCATCGTAGATGGGGGCCTGGAATTCGATGGGGGGCTCCTCGTAGAGGGGGGGCTCGTAGGCATAGCGCGGGGAGGAGGGCTGTGAGTCGCAGGCTGGCTTGCGGGGCTGGGCCAGCAGTGGGGAGCAGCTCCCCAGCTCGGACCTCTTCAGGAAGGGCGAGGGCCTCCGCTCCGGGAAGAAGACTGAGCTGTCTGCGTCCGGGGCAAAGGTCTGCAGGCTGGGTGAGTGCTGCCCACCGGAGGGTCTGCGGGAGCGGCCCCCAGGCTGGCTGTCCAGGGGGTACCCGTTGCCCTGTGGGGAGAGGAAGCTGGGCTCCCGGTCAGCAACTTTGATGAGCATGCGCTCCTTGGTGCCCGAGTTCCACCGGAGGGAGGAGGTCCTGGGGGAGGGACAGGCACAGGTTACCTGGAGGCGGCACTGGGGGGCACAGGCTACTGGTGGAGGCGGAAGTCTGGCCCTGCTGCCAGCCTGGACTGTCACCCACCCACCCTGGTCATTTCTCTTCCTCCTCCTCATCCCCCTCCTCCTGGGGGGGCCTGGTCCTTACAGGAGGGGCTCCCTGTAGATGTCCTGGGAGCTTCCACATGCACCTGACTCAGCCTTGCAGGCTTCCCCTCCAGGGGGCTCCCCTGCAGGGAGCTCCCCCAGGTCCCCAATTGGACGGCATTCGGACACTCCCTGCAAGGGCCCTGGGTGTCTCTGCTCTGGCCCTGGCCCAGCACCACACACAGCACTGTCTGAACAGAGTGGAGCAGCCCTCCCAGAGGCCTGTGGAGTCAGCTGTTCACAGTGTTTTCTCACAATCCTTCATGTTTGTGTTGTCAGCTGTTACATCACTGCTTCTGTTTCTGATTTTATTTATTTGGGTTTTCTCTTTGTTTCTTGATGAGCATGGCTAATGGTTCATCAATCTTGTTTATCTTTTCAAAGAACCAGCTATTGGTTTCATTGGTCTTTTATATTGTTTAGTCTCTATGTCATTTATTTCTGCTCTAATCTTTATTATTTCCTTCCTTCTACTTACTCTGGACTTTTCTTGTTGTTCTCTTTCTTTAAGTTGTAGGATTAAACAGTTTAGTATTTTTTTCTTGTTTTTTGAGGTAGGCCTCTCAGGACTGCTTTTGCTATGTCCCAGATATTTTGGGTGGTTGTGTGTTCATTTTCATTTGTTTCCAGGAAGGTTTTTATTTTTTTCTTGATCTCATTGGTAACCCATTCATCACTATTATAAAAATCCCATGGCCGTGCCGCCGTCACGCTGTAACGACCAAATGCCAAAAGGCACCTGCTGAAAGTCATATGATTTCTTCGTGGGAACAAGTGTTGCTCTGTTCAGATCTCATCTTCCAATGAAGGTCAATGTAAGTGCTCCTGAGAAGGAAAGGTGAGGGTAGGAAACTAGTCTTATCTCCATCCACAACTGTCTTCAAGGTGGGTGGGGCTGCGTGTGCGGCGAGGTGTGCACAGGTGGGTGGGGACTTGACGCTGGCACCCCGAGGCACCGGGTCTGGGTCTCTCGCGATTTCACACGGTGGGCCTCCAGTTGTTTAATAACATGCTGTTTACCCTCCATATGTTTGAATGTTTTAGGCTATTTTTACTGTAGTTGATTACTAATTTCATTCCACTGTGACCTGAGAAGATGCTTGGTAGGATTTCCATCTTCTTGAACTTGCAGAGACTTGTTTTATGTCCTAACATGTGGTCTACAGCCCTGTGTCCCTGGAGGCCACATGTATCACACCCACATCCCCTTTGGGTACAGAGACCCAGGACTCAGCTGCTGTCTGTCAGCTCCCTTAATACATTTTAGTTCTGGAGTTGTCCGCCTCTTTCTTCAGTCTCTTGGCCCCGTGTTCCTTTTAAGGTTGGATCCCCTGCACCTCTTGGCATTTGGTCATTACGGCGTGACGGCGGCACTGCCACAACACAGAGGCCCACCAGCCAGCCTCCCGCACCCGCTTTACTGACGAGGACAGAGGCACAAGGAGGCTGGAAATACGCCCATGGTCACACAGCCACATGGCTGGGCCCAGGGTTGGCTCAGATCCCCTCCTGGGGTGTTGAAGTACAAACCCAGTCACCACTTCTAAGCTCAATCATTACAACTGCCAGAGCAAAGGCCCCTCAGGTCTTCAAATTCCTCCCCAGCACTGGGGTGACTCCTGGTCGGTGCTGGGGCACCCAGGCCGCCCACAGGCACACACCCCCCTGGACCCCCACAGCTGGGGCAGGAGACTCCTGCTGCAGCCTGGCCCAGGAATGGCCCCACCAGCATAATGGCTGCTGCCACCCCAGGGTCCCCAGTGTCATTTCCAGAACCTTCCAACACCCTGCAACGTCAAACCCAGGGCCAAGAGAGGCCCAAGCGCCCTTCCCTACAACTAAAGCCAAGGTGCCCCTTCACCCGGGAAGTGTGTGGTGCGCGGCCGGGCGCTCCCAGGAGACCACATGCTGAGGGGCTTCCTTGCTTGGCCAGAGGCCCCCATGGTCCCCAAGGTGGGCCGTGGCAAGGTTCTCCTAGAACAGGGGTGGGCAAACTTTTTGACTCGAGGGCCACAATGGGTTCTTAAACTGGACCGGAGGGCCGGAACAAAAGCATGGATGGAGTGTTTGTGTGAACTAATATAAATTCAAAGTAAACATCATTACATAAAAGGGTACGGTCTTTTTTTTTTTTTCGTTTTATTCATTTCAAACGGCCGGATCCGGCCCGCGGGCCGTAGTTTGCCCACGGCTGTCCTAGAACCAAAAGCTGCCACAGGAACCTGGGGCCGCTCGGAGGCCTCTGCCCTGCACCGGCGGCCCCGCCACGCACAGCCACTGGGCGCTTCCTGCTGAGCCAGACTCTTTTCCAGCTCACCCGAGAGCTGCCAGGAAAACCACCCTCCGCCAGGAGACAGGGCCAAGCCTGAGACAGCGGGCTCTACCTGTAGTGGAGAAGCTGGCCGTCTGCACTGTAATCCCGGTAAACCTCATAGTCCTTCTCAGGAAACACTCCTGGTGGGGAAGAACTGAAAGGCAGCAAAATGAAACCAAGGCCATGAGCATGAGAAATAGGCTGCATTTAAAACAGCAGCCTTCCCTTTGAATGTGTGTGTCACCCTTTGTTTTCTCAGGGGGGACCCCAGTGTCGTGGCTCCTGCCCACAAAGCTGTCCCCTTCATCAGGGCAAATGATTATTTCTTCCCCCTGATCTGACCCCGGTGCAGCCCACCTTCCCCCACCATGCAGGAGCACCCGCCAGCTCTGCAGGTCCCAGAGGCACAGAATCTGCCTGGGCCACCGGCCCTTCCCTTCCAGGCATTGCCATCGTCCTCAGAGGAGCAAGACGGACCCCACTGTGCAAGTCAGGTCTCCAGGTTTCCACTGTCCCTGGTGAAACCCAGCCAGCCTCCACCTGCCCCGCGGGCCCCCACCTGCCCCACCTGCCACTTTCCTCCTTTGCCGCCCCAAAGGCCATCTGCCGGCTTCTCCCCAGCGGCTCCTGTGCCTTCTCCCCAGGGTCTGGCTCGGGGTCCAGGGAGGAGCTGGTGCTGCCATCGCGGCTGAGGCTGCTGCCGCGCCCAGGGCTGTTGTCCGCGGAGGCGCGAGGGGACTCCGTGTTCTGCTTCAGTGTCTGCAGCTTGGCCAGGGGGATGATGTCGCAGCCCTGCGGCCGGTGCCACACGGTGCGCTGCGTGGTGGCGCTGTAGTAGTAGAATCGCGACGTGTTGGGGTCGAAGAGCTCCCACCACTGGTTCTCGCTGGTGCGCTTGATGCGGACGCCCGCGGGCGGGTCCCACACGCACTCACCGGTGACCAGGTTGGCGTACATGCGCTCGCGCGTGCGCGGCTCGATGATCTCCACCCATTCCAACCTGGGAAAGAGCCAGCGTGAGTGCGTGGGCAGGCGGCCCTGCCCCAGCCCCGTCCCAGCCCCCAGCACCATGGAGCACCCACCCACTGGCTGCACCTGCAGGGGGCACTCCCTCACCACGTAGCTTCAAACGCTAGACAGCCGTCCTTATACCACAAGACCTCCTTGAAGCTTACCAGTGTCTCCTCTTCACGTTCAACGTGGGGGGCACACAATCAGGCCATCACAGAAACAATTTCAGATGATAAAAAAGTTGGAAAGATGGCCTTCCTCCAGCTTCCCCTGTTAGTACCCAAAGCACCGGAGGGTCAAGGTCTGGCAGGACGGAAGGCCAGTGACACAGCCCAGGGGCCAGGCTCCCCGGCTTCACATTGCGGCCCCCTCCGGGCTGGAGTGCGGGGGGAGCTGCTGTGTGCGAGCTGCTGCCTCTCGCCATCGCTGGGCCCACTACTTCAGCACCGTGGACTCTGCCTGCGACACCATCACCAGCTGCTGGCCACGCACTGTGCCCTGCTCCCCTGCTCCTCTCCCTTCCATGCGGGAGGCAGGGCTCCGTCCTGGGCGTCTTGTAACAGAGACTGCCGTGGAACACTGGCAGCTGCCATGTGTCAGGCCACCTTTCCTCCTTGTTTCTGAGAATTGTCATCAGTGCACTGGACCCAAACTGATGACACACAGGGGAGCAAGAGCTCAGATGCTCCCAACACTTTTCTACTTTGCTGTACTCTCCGAGTTTTCTACGATGTTACAGATCGCTTACTTTCGTAATCAAGCCCTGGTTCATAGGTCCGTCCTCAATCCTCAGCAATGCTGGCCGGGCTTAAAAGATTTTTTTTATTTTTAATAAAACTCCTGCTGCCCTGGCTGGTTTGGCTTAATGGATAGAGCATCAGCCTGAGGACTAAAGAGTCCCTGGTTCAATTCCAGTCGAGGGCACATGCCCGGGTTGCAGGCTCATCCCCACTGGGGTGTGCAGGAGGCAGCCAATCAATGATTCTCTCTGATCACTGATGTTTCTCTCCCTCTCCCTTCCTCTCTGAAATCAATAAAACTATATTTTAAAAAAAGCTTGAGGCTTGTCTTTTCACTCTCTTTATAGTACCTTGACTTTTGATGAAAAGCTTGTAACATAGTTGAATTTATAAATCTTTTTCTTCATAATTTCTCCTCTGTCTATTGTGTTTAAGAAATCTTCCCTGTTTCTAGGTCAAAAGTATTCTAAGTTGACTTGCAACGTTTTACAGCTTTGCCTTTCATGAATTTCATGACATTCTTAATCTACCTGACTTTTGTTTACAATGCGAAACCTCATTCTCCCCACATGGACAGCCAGGGGTCCCCATGACGGGTGTGGCAGGGCACCTGTGTCTGAGCTCCTGCTGGCTCGCTGGCCCAGCCTCCCCTGACCAGCACCAGTGTCTGAACAGCACTGGCTGTGCACTGGGTGCAGCATGACCCAGACCCCACATCCTGCTTCTTCAGTCACATCCAGGCTATTCTTGACCCTGTGTTCCCTATGAATTGTGGAATCACCTGTCAACTCTCACACACTCTGTTGGCACCTTCACAGGATCTATTCCAGGAGAGAACAGAAGCCTTTGTGCTGACTTAGTCTTATGCCCAACCATGGTGTATCCATCCACTCATTTCGGTCTTCTCTAAAGGGTCAGAGTTACTCGTGGTGACACCTCCCTGGGCGACGTGTGCCAACACGGCCATGACATCTGTGGCCCGCCCTGGACGATGTGTGTCAAGGGTGGAGGGTGGAAGAGGACACAACGGTCACAAAGGGTGAATCTGGTCAGAGGACACATTCCTGTTCTTGCAACTTTTCTGTAAGTGTGCCGTTATTTCCAGACAAAGTTAAAAATTAGAAAACTAAAAATGAAAGAAAAAAGAAAAATGATGAGCTACAGCTACCTGCCTTGGGGTGGATCGATGCCCAGAGAGGGCACAGGGATTGGGCCCAGCATCAGGGCCTGCAGAGTGTCTGGCCCAGGCAGCCGTGTCCACTTGCGTGAGAAAAACCTCTCCCTCTGTCTTGCATCCAGGGGACAAAGTGGGGGCCATGCCTCCGGGCTAGGCTTCCACGGGAAGAGGGCAAACTCAGAAGCAAGTGCAGATAGCCTCGACGCCCCCACGGAGCCAGTCCTCTGATGGCCTAGGCCGCAGTGGCTTCCCTCACCTGGTGCTCGGCCCCGAGGCCCGAGGCTCCGGCAGGCCAGCATGATGGCTCTCACATTCGCAGTCCTGCGCCTGGGACATCGCAGCCTCTCCCCGTGACCCCGGCGGACAGTCAGCGGATCATCGGGATGCCCCCTTCAGCACCACTAGGGAAGGTGCCACCCTGCAAGAGAGCACTGCTGTCTAAGCACATACATCCAGAAAACATGTTATTAGACCTTGGGGTTTGGAGCCAGTAACAGCCCAGCTAGTCCCTCACAGCCCAGAGCGCTGGTGAGAGTGAGGAACGCCCAGTCCTGAGCCAGTTTCTCAGGTCCCTGGGCCCTGCCCCCGAGCCCCAGCCGGGACCCAGCCCTTGCCAGCCCATGAGAAGGCACCCAGACCCCCTCACCAGCTGTCCCCAGGAAAGCTGCCCACTGCCTCTCAGATGTAGTGCCCTCGGGCGTCAGGCAGGGCACTATGGTGGCAACATGGGTGGAGCACATGGCGCAGCCCGACAGGGCAATGCTCCAGAATTTTTGATGCAGCTGATTCATAACAAAGAGTGGACTTCTCAAAAGTGTTGACTACATACGAACAACGGGGGTGGGGTGGGGGGGGGAATCTTGACCCAAAACTCAATTCCAGATAAACTGTAGATCTAAATGTTAAAAGTAAAACAAAAAGGCCTTTAGGAAAAATGTAGACAATAATCTTTGTGGTCTTACAGTAGGTACAGGTATCTTAATCAGAAAAACCTGCCCGGCCAGTGTGGCTCAATGGTTGAGTGAGGATTTATGAACCAGGAGGTCACAGTTCAATTCCCATTCAGGGCACATGCCCAGGTTGCTGGGGCTCGATCCCCAGTAGGGGGTGTGCAGGAGGCAGCCAATCAATGATTCTCTCTCATCATTGATGTTTCTATCTCTCCACCTCCCTTCCTCTCTGAAATCAATAAAAAGTATATGTAAAAAATTAAAAATACATATATATTAAGAATTAAATGTTATTGTTTTTTAAAAAGAAATTAAAAAATTAAAACAAAAAAGAAATTTAAAAATCAAACTATAAGACTTTTCATTGCTAGTTTTGAGCAATTTGATTATGATGGGCCTTACGTAATTTTTAAAAAAATGTATTTTATTGATTTTTTTAGAGAGGAAGGGAGAGGGATAGAGAGTTAGAAACATCGATCGGCTGCCTCCTGCACACCCCCTACTGGGGATGTGCCCACAACCAAGGTACATGCCCTTGACCAGAATTGAATCTGGGACCGTTCAGTCCACAGGCCGATGCTCTATCCTCTGAGCCAAACCGGTTAGGGCGGCCTTGTATAATTTTATTAACATTTCCTGTGCTTAGGATTTGTTGAGACTTTGATCTAGGTTTCACCAAACAGTTTTTCTGTCCCTCCCTCTTGGGAGCTCCAATCACACAGACGTCAGCCCTCGGCCAGGTGTCCCACATTCCCATCATGCTCTTCCCTGCTTGTGTTTATTTAAAAGTACTTTTCCTCTCCTTGTTTTAGCGTGGATCAGTCTTACTGTTTTGTTTTCAAGTTCACTCATCTTTGCTTCTGCAATGCCTATTCTGCTGCTAATCCCATCTAGTGTGCATTCAGACGGTTTAGTTTAAACTCTAGAAGTCTAACTTGGATTTAATTTTTAGTTAACTGTCTTTACCTCACCTGTCTGTACTTAATGTGTCCAATGTTCCCCTTAGTTTTTGAACTTATGGAATGCAATTATAATTGCTTTAAGGACCTGGTCTACACAGCCTATCCTATAAGTCAGTTTTGCATCAGTTTTGTTTGACTTTTCATTACATTATGAGTTGTATTTTCCTGCTTCTTTCCATGCCTAGTCATTTTTTATTGGATGCCAGAGACTGTGAATTTTACCCTTGGAAGCTGTGTACTTCTGTGTCCCTTCGGTCTACCAGCCCTGGTCTTCTCTCTAATCACGTTTTTGTCTGTTTTTTTCCAACGCAGCATGTTCTTCCGAGCAGCCTGTCCTCTGAGGACCAATTCGTTTTCAGCCACGGCCACCCTGTCACCTGCTGTTGCTAACTGGGCTCTCAAGTTTGTAATGTTTTTGTTTTTTCTTTCTTAGTTTTTCTCACATTCTCTCCTTTGATTAATTTTTTCTTTTCTTAGAGCTCTTCTCTCTTTATATGTTTTGAATGTTTTTGGTGCAGAGACAGTTCTATCAAAAATTTCCTTCTGCCCTAACCGGTTTGGCTCAGTGGATAGAGCAGGGGTCCTCAAACTTTTTAAACAGGGGACCAGCCGAACCGGTTTGGCTCAGTGGATAGAGCATCGGCCTGCGGACTCAAGGGTCCCAGGTTCGATTCCGGTCAAGGGCATGTACCTTGGTTGCGGGCACATCCCCACTGGGGGGCGTGCAGGAGGCAGCTGGTTGATCTCTCTCATCGATGTTTCTAACTCTCTATCCCTCTCCCTTCTTCTCTGTAAAAAAATCATTAAAATATATTTAAAAAAAAAACAAAAAAAAAAAACAGGGGACCAGTTCACTGTCCCTCAGACCGTTGGAGGGCCGGACTATAGTTTAAAAAAAAACTATGAACAAATTCCTATGCACACTGCACATATCTTACTTGGAAGTAAAAAAACAAAACGGGAACAAATACAATATTTGTATTTGCATGTGGCCCGCCGGCCGTAGTTTGAGGGCCCCTGGGATAGAGTGTTGGCCTGCGGACTGAAAGGTCCCAGGTTCGATTCCAGTCAAGGGCATGTACCTTGGTTGCGGGCACATCCCCAGTAGGGGGTGTGCAGGAGGCAGCTGATCGATGTTTCTCTCTCATCAATGTTTCTAACTCTCTATCCCTCTCTCTTCCTCTCTGTAAAAAATCAATAAAAATATTTTTAAAAAATTTCCTTCTGTTTCCTGGGCTAATTTTCTTCTAAACATCTTCCCGCCAGCCGTTCCATTGCACCCACTGCCCCTTTTCTTCGCTTTCTCTAGTGTCTACCTAAGGGTCCCTTGCTGCCCCCGATTACTGCTCGTCCCTAAGGAAAGAGACAAGAGTCAGACAGACTGAAACCAGGCGTGTTGTCCCAGAAGGCTCTATTGCCAAGTTTTCTTAGAGGCTCTGCTCTGAAAACGAGTTTCTGGTCTATTAGGGCATTTTTTGGTTGCAAGAGACAGCAACCCAGCTCAGATGGAAGACACAATGCCCTGCGCCTCCCGTGGGTGAGCCCCAAGGGCAGGACTCTCAGCGAGGCCTGCAGCTGCCGCCTGCTCTCCGTCTGCCACACAGCAACACCCATCCCCTCAGGTGCCAGCAAGCGAGGTGCGAGGGTTTCTAACGGGCCATCAGGGCCTCGGTCACAGTCACGGCTGGTGCTGCCAGGTGGGCGGGAGGAGGGCGACTCCCCAGCAACAGCTCCTTCAGAGTGACCTTGGCCCTGCCCACAAACTCCAGCCCGGACCCAACCCTTGCTAGTCGGCGAGTAAGTCCATGTAAGTCCATGGGAGCCGCGGCCCAGGCCACAGAGACCCTCGTCTTGGCCAACGGTCGGCAGCTCCACAGCAAGTTGGGGTTTCCCATCTCCTCCCCATTTCCCAGTGGGGTCTTATAGAAATGCAGGCGGAGCACCCGCCTTCCTCTGGCAGCGCACCTCCCCCGGCACCATGCCCCGTTCTCCACGCCCACCAGGCCACAGCCCCTTCTGTCAAGTCCACGTTCCACTGGTGCCCCTAAAAGTCCTCTTTGTTCAACGCAAACTCAGTCCCCTCAAGGCTCAGGCTTTCACTCCTCCCAGCTGGCTGACATCCTCCTCTGACTTAAATCTTGTTCCCTATTTTTCATTCTTGTTGTTCATTCCGGTGAATAAACAAGTGTTGACTCAGCCATGGCTTCCAGAAGGCCCGGGTGCCTCTCTCACTGCTGTTTTCCCAAGTTTCCCCATGTGAACAATGAGCGCTCTGAGTCCCACGTCTGCAGGCTGGGCTCTGAGCAGCAGGCACAATGCCCCATTCTGCCGGGCAGGGCGGCTGGCATCTCCGGTCCCCTGCTCCACAGGATGACCACCCTAACCGCTACAGCTGTGGCCCAGCCCCTCAAGTCATGGAATCAGCTCGCAGGTTAACATCAGCTTCCAAACCTTCCCGGGCCACCCCACGGAGGAAGGACGCGTGTGTGGAAGCACATCATCGGGCAGAAAGTGAATCTGTCGGTGATGGTGGCGTTGTCTCTGAAGCACTCGGAAAGCTGCCACCTCAGGGATGGAGCTGGCTGCTGCCTGGTGCCTAAGGTCACAGGACAGGCAGTCAGAACCTCCCCCAACCACTGGGCCGTGGCCAAGCCCCCACTGTCCCTGCCTTCCTGAACTTCCCTTGCCGACTAAACGGCACCAGGGGTCCCGGTGGGACCAAGAACAAAATATGCGAGTTGTCAGAACAGAGAAGCTGGTCACGAGCAGGGACAGCCGCCCCTCCAGCAGCACGGCGCTGCCCACTGGGCTCGGAGACACGAGAGCAGCGGTGGCAGGCTCCACGACAGGGGCAGCACTCTCAGCCTGCAAGGCTGTGCCAACAAACACCCCTTGAGGGTCAGAGGTCTCCGTGCTGCTACGCCCGCCCCACCTTACGTGGCAAACCGGGGCTTCGGCAGGGGCGCTGGGGGCAGCTCGGTGATCTCAGACCCAGGACAGAGGACCTGGTCCCAGGGGAAGGAGAGCCAGCAGCACCTTGCGACAGAAGATGTTCTTATTACTGAAACCTCACTGTGATGGTTTAACATCTGAAACTAGGGTGATGACTCTGCTTACAACTGCATTCCCAGTGCCTAAACTTTTGCTCAGTGAATCAACAAACACGAAATGAATCACTGCCTGATCTCCTTTCGAATGAAAAAGGTTAAGAGAGGAAGGGGGACACACTCAGGCCACAGGGCACCCAGCAGGCCGGCCCTGCCCCAGGCCACCGCTGCTAAAAGGAGAAAATGGGGTCTCAAGGAAAAGAAGAAAAGTCCTAAACAGTGAAACAGTGAAACTGAAAACACAGAGAAGGCCCAGGACACCCGGCCTCGGGACCTGAGTGACGGAGCCTGTGCTTGCCAACAGGGGACGGAACCTTCGCTGCGCACATTTCTCCCGCTGCTTTCAGTCTGTTTGCTTCCTGTAGTTTTATGCTCTGCTTTTGTCCTCTGCACTTAGTTTTAAAATTGTATTTTCAATAAAAGTGTTTTTTAAATATTTTTTATTTTATTATTATTATTTTTTGTTGTTGTTGTTGTTAATCTTCACCCGAGGATATTTTTCCATTGAATTTTTAGAGCGAGTGGAAGAGAGAGGGACAGACAGAGAGAACCATCAGTGTGAGAGAAACACATCGATTGGTTGCCTCCTGCATGAGCCCTGACCAGGGCACGGCCGGGGAGGAGCCTGCAACCAAGGTACATGCCCTTGACCAGAATTGAACCCGGGACCCTTTGGTCCGCAGGCTGACGCTATATCCACTGAGCCACACCAGCTAGGACAATAAAATAGTTTTTAATTTCTATCAGTGGTCATTACAACTTTTCTCAAAAAGTCCTCAAGCCTACATTTCTCCAGTTTTCAGCTGTTTCCAGGTCACTTCTCACCTGTCTGTGCAGGTGGGGGGCAGCCCGCCAGGCTCCTGGGGGTCCCATTGGGGAGACAACGCCTCTCCTTCCCTCCCCTCTCCTCTGCTCAGTGTCTTGTATGAGTCTTTAAAACAGAACTCACATCACAGCCTCCTGGGGTGGGTTTGCTGCCTATTTCCTGGGAAAGGAAGCTGAGGAGGGCCCTGCACTCTGTCCTGGCCAACGCCCCCAAATGCTCCATGCAGACGACCCCTCACTTGAAGGAGGCCTGTCACCTTGAAAGTCACCCCAGCCCAGGCCTCTCGGATGGACAACACAGCGGAGCAGCCCTGAGGGCTCCGAGCCCCCAGCCACAGCACTCAGCCTTCCCCCACCCACCCCAGAGCCATGGGCTGCCCCTTGGGGACCCGGGCCTTGGGTGACATGCCCCACAAGGGGAGGTGGCCAGCCCCAGAACCAGGTGTCAGTGTGAAGAAATGGGGCTCGACGCCCACTGAGGACCTCGCAGCCCCAACAGTCACTTGGCACCACGGGCAGTGAATACGCGGGAAATTCACTCGGCGTGACAACACCTGCCCTGCTCCCAAGAGCTGCAGGCACAGCACCTCTGTGGACTCCTCCCACCTGGGGCTCCTGTGGCCCCTGCCCCAGCCTCAGTCCTCGTCCCACATGTGAGCTGGGAGCGGTGCAGGGCCACGGCCTGGCCACACCAGCCTGTGCCAACACTGAGCTTCAGTGGATAGCAGGACGGCCAGCAGGCGACGAACACACCCAGAGCAGGGCAAGATGCCGGCACCGACACACCATGTTTGAGGGACCCTGAGTCACCATCCGGGCCCTTGCCATCCCCCATCCCCATGGTGGGCAAGTTCCAGTGGTGAGTGGGTGAGAAGATCCTGGATGCCAACTTCCCACGCGGGCGCCGGAACAGAAGATGCTCTGTGCTGCTCGCGGGCCTGTGTGGAGGGAGACCCGCCCAGGAAGCGGCAATCTGCTCCTGGAACAGAGTGATGCCCCTCCCGCAGCCGGGGCCACTGTGCCCGCTCCTCAGTCCCGAGTGTCCTGTCCTGTCCCCAGGGCAGCCCCATACCCTCCTACCCACAGGCTGGCAGGTCCGCCTGCAGACACTGAGTGGTGCTGACCATGTGTGTGGACACGTGTGTATATATGAGCACATGAGAGCATGTGCCACCCTGTGTGGGCACATGTGTAGGCCTGACAGGGTCCGGAGTGGCCCTCCTCCCTGCTGCTCCTTACTCCCTCGGGCACATGCCCCACCACGAGGCCAGCCCTGCACCTGGCCCGGCCTCTGACCTCTCCAGGAGCTCCTTCCACACCCATGACCTGGAGGAGAGGGTGACTGGAGGGAAGGGAAGGGGCCAATGCATGACAGGGTATCCTGAGACTCCAGCCTCAGCCACAGAGCCCTCGGGTGGAGGTGAGCAACTGGAACAGTAAACAGCACCTGTCAGAGGCAGGGGCCACCTCCAGGAGGCTGGACCCTCGCATCCGGCGGGAGGTCTGGCACTCTGGAAGGCGGGGCTCCAGAACACAGCCCAGGGCCCCGGGAGGTCCTGTCCCCTAGGTGAAAGGCCAGCAGACATTTCTCAAGTGCAGTTTGATGATTTCCATGAACATATACACCCACGCAGCCGAGCAGAGCCCACGGAAGAGGCAGCTCATTGCTCGCTGGGGAGTGGGGCTTGGGTGGGAGTGGTGTGAGAAGCCACAGAAGGTCTGGTCTGAACTGAGCCCAGGGAGGCTCCCTTTCAGGAAGAGGAGTGAAATGAAGTTGTTTTCAGATGCAGACTCAAGAGCAGACCCTGAGAGCACGGAGGGCGGAGGGCCGGAGCCGGAGGACTGAAGCATGCTCAGTGTTTCACAGGCAGAGAGGGCCATTTTTGAGTCAAAACCACACAGGCAGGTCAATTTGATGGGCAGTTACAGAGCTGTTCTCACCTGAAAGGTTCATCTATACCAGAAGAAAGTAAAACAAAACAAACTTTTAATACAATAAAACAGGGCATAAAACATCAGGAAACAGTCCCAGGTGGGGAGGCTGGGTCTGCACAGGGCCCCGGGCACAGCAGGGCCTCGGGGTTGGGGGGCTGCACCCTGTGCCCGCAGTGGGTCTGAGGGGAGCCACTGCTGCCTCGGGGGGAGTGGGGAGGAGGGCTCCTGGTTACTTGCTGGAGTTTCCAGAAAACTGTTGATGAATCTGAGAAACATTTCACCGGAAGGGCCGAGCGCGGCCAGACGATGGGAGGACCAGAGCAGCAGTGGGAGCCCTCAGCACCTGCTGGCGATAAATACCTGGGAGCAAACGTGCCCATTTCTGTCACAATAATGACGAGAAAGCTTTGACCAGCCTCTAAGAAAGAACAAACAAACATATGAGAGTTTAAACTATTTTTTAAAAACGTTAAATCTGTTGATGAGTTGGGAGGATAGTTCAGAACCTCAGAGGGCAAACACGGGGGGAAACCAGGAGTCGGCATGAGGCCTGGCCAGCAGCAGCCTGGGAGGGTCCGTGCGGCCTGAGCGCAGTAGCGAGGACAGAGCCTGGGACGGCCAGAGCCCAGCTGCAGGCACCAGGGAGAACCAGGAAGGAGTGGCACACAGGGGTCAGGCCTGGGGCAGGACGGAGGTCACCACAATCGGTGTCCTAAGGTCTCTGAATTGTTTTGAGAAAAGTAAAAATAACAGTTGAGTTTAGATTCTGATACATGAATTCTGCGTGTTAAAACATGTGGGGTGGCGGCCCCTATGGAAGCCGAGGAATGAATCCCAATCTAACAGGAGAAAAAAGAGAGAAGAAAAGAGAATCCAAAACAAGTTAAGAAAGGAGGAACAAAGCAACCTGTCCCAAATGACAGGACGCGTAGAATGCAGAGATGGCAGAAATAAACTCAGAGAGAAGAACCTTACGGAACAAAAAGGAGACAAACACTGTCAGACCAGATGTTGAAAGCCCCCGACACGTGCTTTATACCCAACACATTGAAAACATAAGGATGTGGGTTCTGAACGTCAGGAAGGCACAAGCTACCCCGACGACAAAGCTGGTGCAGCTCCAGGAATGCGGCCGCTCAAACAGGCCACCCAGCCGAGGAGGCCAGTGTGGGCAGAACCTCTAGGGCAGGAGACGGCTCGGCTCGCCAGGCTTCCTCTTGGGGGCACGCAGGGCTCAGATCCTTGCCCACCATCCATGGAACATTCCTGAAAACTGACCACATACCAGGGCCTAACGTGAGTTCTCAACAAAAGTCCAAGGTTGGGCTGCCCAGCCCCAGTCCTTGTCCATGCGCACGCGCACACGCACACGCTGGCAGACGAGCCACACACAGAGCCCACGCGAGGCAGGCCCGTTGGTCAGCTGCTGTCAATGCTCCAGCCTGCTGAGGGGAAAGGGAGGGTGTGGGTGCCGGCTCCGGAAACAAGCAGCAGCCTCGGGGACCAGGAGGCTGACAGACAACCACGCGTCACGAGCACGCGAGGCTGCAGCTGCCATCCCAGGGAGCGTAGGGCCCAGCGCACGCAGAGCTCCATGCAGTCTCCCCGCACAGACCTGGTCTGCTGACCACAACACTGCACTACGCGGTGAAGAGCAGGTCAGCCATGCGCATGTCAGGGTGGGTGTCTGCACTGATGTGCAGGGCATGACGACCTGTCGGGGGCTGGAGAATAAGCCACAAGAGACAGCCTTCTGTGTGGGTAACAGCATCACCCATAAGTCACCACGCAGACAGTGGAGGGGCAGCATCTGGCCTGAACTGGAGCACGACCCCTGACCCTTCAAAGTACCCACAGAGACTCGCCTCTAACACCTACTGCACACAGTGTAATGCACGGCAAGAGCCGTACAAACACCTACTGTGTGCAGTGTAACGCACAGCAAGAACCACCTCTAACACCTACTGTGTGCAGTGTAACGCAGCAAGAACCACCTCTAACACCTACTGTATGCAGTTAGCACCTGGCAAGAACCACCTCTAACACCTACTGTATGCAGTTAGCACCTGGCAAGAACCACCTCTAACACCTACTGTATGCAGTGTAACCCGCGGCAAGAGCCACCTCTAACACCTACTGTGTGCAGTGTAACGCCTGGCAAGAATCACCTCTAACACCTACTGTGTGCAGTTAGTACCTGGCAAGAATCACCTCTAACACCTACTGTGTGCAGTTAGTACCTGGCAAGAATCACCTCTAACACCTACTGTGTGCAGTGTAACGCACAGCAAGAACCACCTCTAACACCTACTGTGTGCAGTGTAACGCGCAGCAAGAACCACCTCTAACACCTACTGTGTGCAGTGTAACGCGCAGCAAGAACCACCTCTAACACCTACTGTATGCCTGCCTCAGAGCCTGCGTGTCACCTGCTGCATGGGTGCAGCATCCTCCGTCCACGTGGTGGCCCTCTCACTGCACCCCATGCGCAGCCCCTAGCAGGTGAGTCCTGCAGGCACACAGGTGACCACCCAGTGACAGGCATGAGGAGGACTGGAGGACAGAGCACAGGGCAGTCCAAGGGCAGGGCCAGGCAGGGCTGGAGGGCCCTGTGGAGGGGAGGCTGCCACAGGCACGCCTCTGCAGGCCCAGCAGCAAGTCGCCTTGGTGGCTCAGGAAGAGGTCCGAGCTTTGGATACAAGTTTAGAAGAAATCAGCATATAACAGAAACTCCACTTTCCCTAGTCCGTGTGTTTACAGGCAGGAGAGGGGACAGGCAGAGAGCCAGGCTGAGATGAACTAGCAGAGATGACTGAGGGGAGGAGAGGGCATGGATGGCCTGGAGACAGGAGTGGGGGATGGGCTGAGCAGGTGGGAGGCAGGCACAGGACGGGGTGGTGGCCTGGGGACACTCCTGGAGCCGCTGCTCTGAAACGTGCAGCAGGTGTACACGGTGCCAGAACTGGTTCAGGGAGACACCACCACAAGGGGCATGGGCAGGGGCACTGTGGTGGGCACAGGGCCTGATTTTAGCTGAAAACTCCACAACACTTTAAACAGAGGCGTGAGCTGCAGCTCTGACAGCCCACAGCCTGCGGGTGATGACAGTCAAGCCCCCCTCCCCGCCATGGACACGGCCTAGAAATTACACGGCCAAACTCTCACCACGCTTGCTGGTAAACCCTCTTCCCACCAAGACTCTGAAAACCCCATTTGCGCGCCCGTCTATGTTGAATGCACCTAGAAAACCACTGGGCTAAACCATGATTGTCTTCCTACGCCCACAGACGAGCCCAGATGGCCATACTCATGGGCCTGGGCACTGAGGTGGCGGCCAGCACACAGGCAGTGAGCGGGGTGGGCTGGAGTGGACAGCAGGTTGCTGTGAGGCTGGACAAGGTGGTGGTGGTTCACAGTGCACAGGCTGCCAGGCAGCCATTGCAAGGGAGACCAAGAGCAGACAGAGGTGCCTGGTGCTGACTTCTGCACGTGGGGGTGCCACCTCCCCTTCTGCAACAGCCTTTTCCTGGCCCCCATTTCTCCTTTTACCCATTCAGTGTGCAATTTTAATCTATTTAGCACATGCACGGACGCCTGGTGGCTGTGCAGGGACCACGGCCCAGCTCAGATGCCCTGGGAGGCAGGAGAACTGGGCTGAGGGGGGGAACAGGAAGGGCTCCTGTTAGGACAAGCCCCAGGAGGGTCAGAGGAGCTGAAGGGGCACCTGAGCTTTGCTTTTCTGGGGTGAGGAAGGAACAGGAGCAGGGCGTGGCTTGGTGCACTCGGCTGGAGAGCAGAGCACGGGGGCCAGGGAGGAGGGGTGCGGTCTCCAGGACGGGCTCGGGACCTGCTCCTGGGCCAGCACACAGGCCACGGGCCTCCTGTGCACCAGCTGCTGAGCAGCACCTTGGCCGCATGCAGCTGACGTCAGTGGCACCTCTCCCAGTCGGGACAATGACAAATGTCTCAGACAAACCACTCGAGTGAGAACCACAGCTCTGCACACCCCCCTGCGCAGCGCTGTGGAAGAGAGGGCAGGGAGCCCACCCAGGAGGCGTGGCCATCGTGCAGATGGGACCCGGTGCAGCCCCTGCTTGGCAGTGGCCCTGGTGACAGGGGAATGATAGGTTGGTAACTACTTGGGAGGTACCAGGAGCAACCCCTGGAGCAATGGGCTGTGGCCAGATGCCAAGCTTTCAGGTAGCCACCAAGCAGATGCCAGACCCAAGGTCCCCAAGCACCAGACACCAGCAGTGGAGAATGCAGGGTCTGAGGAGCCTGAAGGAGGCTGGCTCCAGTGCCCCAGGCTGAGCAGGGAGGGCTGGCTGGCACCTCCTCTCCCCCCAAACCCCTGAGATGGCTCAGAGCATGGAACAGGCTTGTTTTCTCTGGGTGCGGTGGGAGGAAGGGGTCCACAGTATCGTCTCCAACTATTTGCTCAGCCGTTCCCCACAAGAGGGCTGTATATCCTCCGCAGTACCAGGGGACGTCTGCCTATTAACGGAGAGAGGGAAAGAGCGTGGGTCCCCTCCCCTGGTGGGCTGGGGCAGGTGACCGGCTTTGGCCCATGGAACCTGAGCTGTCAGCCGAAGCTTGAAGAGACACCGTTTCTGCCACTCTGCCATAAGGATGCCACGATCCAAACAAGGGCTGGCCCCAGACCCATGAATGGGCTCTCAGACAAAAGCCACAAGCAAGTGAAACGTGAGCAAGACGCAAACCTGCTGTTGTGAGCCACTGAAATGTTGGGTAATTTGTCACCTCAGCCTCCTGCTGAGAAAGCTGTCCAATTAACTCCCTGAACCAAATCTCTTCCTTCTCCAGCCCGTCCTGCTCACTCCTGTCAGGTAGATGTTCCTAATCCATTTTTTCAGGACTTGCCCTGCCCCCATTAGCTAGACGGCTACAATCTAAAGTCTTTCCCCTGAATTCAGACACTCACATTATAATCCTTATTTCCTCTTATTCCTTACACAACCGTCTAACCCCACAAACCACTCACAACCCAACTTCTTATCTTTGTTCCGACACCAGTTTCTGTTCTAACTAGTCAGTTCTGCCAAAGCACCCACAGACAATAAAAGTGAAGGCTTCAACAAAACTTTATTTATAAAGACAGGCAGGGGAACTAACACCTACTGTATGCAGTGTAATACAGACCTGGTCTGGAGAATGGTTTAAAGGGCTCATAGACTTAATAGGCTTTGCCCTTTTCAAACTTCTTCAAAGAACAGTGTGCCACAGTATACACACAACTAACTGAGCATAGATTAGATGTTCAGTTAGAAAGTACTGAATTAGCCCTAGCCAGTTTGGCTCAATGGATAGAGCGTCAGCCTGTGAACTGAAAGGTCCCAGGTTCGATTCTGGTCAAGGGCACATGCCCAGGTTATGGGCTCGATCCCCAGTGGGGGATGTGCAGGAGGCAGGTGATCCATGATTCTCTCTCATCGTGGATGTTTCTATCTCTCTCTCCCTCTTCCTTCCTCTCTGAGATCAATAAAATATTTATTATTTTTTTTAAAAAAGCCCTAACTGGTTTGGCTCAGTGGATAGAGCATTGGCCTGAGGACTGAAAGGTCCCAGGTTCGATTCCAGTCAAGGGCATGTACCTTGGTTGTGGTCACATCCCCAGTAGGGGGTGTGCAGGAGGCAGCTGATGGATGTTTCTCTCTCATCGATGTTTCTAACTCTCTATCCCTCTCCCTTCTTCTCTGTAAAAACTTAATAAAATATATTTTAACAACAAAAAAGAAAGTACTGAATTAATGATACTTAGGAAACATTATAGAATATTGAAAAAATCCCTAATACTCAGCAGTACAGTTTTCCCAGAGACTTCAAAAAAAAGTAGGAAAAATCCACACCAAATGTTAAGCCAAGAAAAATTCCACCTGATGGAGCATAATAATGACCAATAAGCTCTTTTCACAATACACAAACGGTGTCAACGACCAGTATAAGTTTCTGAGTTTAGTGGGGAAGCAACTCCTATTATCAGAACTCTCAGACATATGAGGATAAACTCCATTTATGTCACCACCACACTCTGGGGAACAAGATGGCAGGCACTGCTGAGAAACTCCAGTTCCAGGGAAATACAAAACCCTGCAAATGCCTGTCCCAGGAAGCCCAAGACGGGAGCCGGCAGAGCGGGAGTGAGCCAGGCAACAGGCCCCATGAGGAGGTCCATCCCAGCAGATGGAACAGTGTGGCCAGAGGATGGGGGTCAGGGTCAGACAGGGCCTCAGGGAGTAGGCCAAAGCTGCCAGGTAGCGCCAGGGACAAGTCCCCAAGGCTGACGGAAGCCACAGAAAGCAGGTCCTGGAGGCAGCAGAGAGGGTGTGGATCTACCTCGGGGAGCAAGGAAGGCAAGAGAAGAAGGGACCTGGAAGCAGGCAGACACTCCAGCTCGGTTTTGCTGGAAGCGTCTCCCAGACCCAGCGAGCACAGGGCTGTGCTGGCACCCACATGCACCGAGCTAACGTGGGGAGGGAACGTGTTAAGACTCACAACAAATGACCAAATGACAACGGGTTGGTGGAAAGGCTCAGCAAAGGGGTCTTGTGAGCAAGCTGGATGCCTCCCTATCAGCACAGATTACACAGACATTTTTCAAGAGCACCAAGAACCTGAAAGAAGCCTAACCAGACACTGAGTCACTGTTATTAAAGTGTTCAAGGGCAGTCCCCGCCAGCACGCACGCAAGAGAGAAGGTTGGGATGGACATTTTATTTTATTTATTTATTTTAAAAAATATATTTTATTGATTTTTCACAGACAGGGATAGAGAATTAGAAACATCGACGATAGAGAAACATCCATCAGCTGCCTCCTGCATACCCCCCAACTGGGGATGTGCCCGCAACCAAGGCTCATGCCCTTGACTGGAATCGAACCTGCGACCTTTCAGTCCACAGGCCGACGCTCTATCCACTGAGCCAAACCGATTAGGGCGGGATGGACATTTTAAAATCTATCTTGAGATATTTTCAAATTTGCTCACAAAAGCTGTTTTGTTATCATTTGTTCTGAACATTAAATGTTCTCGTTATAAATCCCACAAATGCCAAAAGACTACCTAAAGGGGAAGGGCTCCCCCCTAGTCTCAGTATCACACCGATAAAGAAGGCAGATGGTGTGTCGCAGCCGTGGGCAAACTACGGCCCGCGGGCCAGATTCGCCCGTTTGAAATGAATAAAACTAAAAAAAAAAAAAAAG